TGTTTGGGGAGGGGGAGGTGCATGTGGTGCTCTTATGGTTTTTTTTTTCCATTCTTGTTTTTAGAATATTGCTGGGCAGCTTGGGGTATGATTGCAGAATGTGATGCATATGGATGGAGGGGTAGCGGGGTACTGGTTTTTCAATTGTGCAAATGGATTGGGACTCACTAGTCCTTGGTTCCCAGTTCGCTGGGCGCGAGGTGACTTGGATGGTTTTCTTCTGCCATATTTTTGATCTTCTCTGTTCAGGGAAACACGCTGTGGTGGTCTATGGGAATTTTCGTGTCGAAATGGTCGACGGGAAGTTTGGAGAGTCGCGCGGGAGATAAATTTAGACCCCGCGGAATCTAGAACCGCGGCAAGGTCGCAATTGAACGCTACACTCTACTAGTAAAGGTTTCCTTATTTACTGCCTGGAGATCTTATATGCACTTGTTTAACTCCTTGTATTCAAGAATAAAGTAGCCCCTTGGGTATTTCGCCGTAAACCGCGATGCAATAATCACGGTGTAAATAAAGAGTGAGATAAGACAGTATGAAAAATGAATGGAAGCGAAAAGTATAGACCCCAACGAATAGTATTACATGGTCAGGTACGAGTTCTCGCCACCTTTATCTCTTTTGAAAACACCCAGGACGCCGGTAATAAGCATGCAATGTCACCCTTTAAGACGCAACATGAAGCCACCGGTTGACAAATTGAAAATGCCAATTAGCGAAGGTAGTGTGAGAAAATGAGAAAATAACGACTGCAAAGCCCGCTTTGGTCATCAGATCATCAGAATAGAAGCCCAGAGGCAAATGTAAATAAGCTAAGAAAGGCAGTAGCAAAAAGAAGAAAATGGAAACGAAGAGAAGCCAGCAGTAAGCTCTTTTTGTGGAAGGAGGAAAAGGGAAAAAACGACAGTGAGCCTCAATAGGGCATGTCAAACAGTCATGCAATCGTTTCAAGGACGTATCCTCAGAGATGACCCTGAGCGAACTCCGTCTCAAAAAAACATCAAAGCAGAAGAATTATAAGAATTCGTCAATATTTCTCATGATCAGGCGCTCGTTTCCTGGGGGAGGAGACCTAGGATCCGCTATCCGCGACCCGAACCGGAAGCCGTGCAGCCCATTATTCTCCAGTTGACTAGAGATTGACTGTGACATCGGTGCCGCTAGAAAACCAGTCGTTCTAGGTGAAAAGAGAGCAGGTGGTTCTGCCGGGCCATCCCGCATGAAGATGTCGGTCTTTGCTAAGGAGTAAGGCCCGCTCTCCGAACGCCATGAATTCAATAAGGACTCTGGACGGATCGATCGTACTGCCGAGTCGCCGACTTGGAAGCTTGATTTCCGCAGGGTTAATGGCCGCGGGGATAAGCTTCGCTTATGCGAAGGGGTTTTAGGAAAACTTAGACTTTCAGCAGAAGTAGGCGTAGTCTGGTTTGTCGAAGGCACCGAGAGTGAGCTCGTCGAAGACTGCGACAAACCAGCGCATGAAGCCGGTAGAGCTGGAGTCACGATTTCGGGCTGGCTCATCGCCTCCGTTCGAGAGGGTTGCGGTTCAGAGCCCCTCCGAAGTCCTTCCGCAAACCACTCCTCAGGCGCCGGTTTTGAAGGGCCACCCTGGAGCAACCGCGAACGGAAATCCGTCAATTGGTAGATAAGGCTCATATTAGGGCCCACCCATTGACTCCTCCCCTTGACAATCTCGTACATGGAGTTGAAATCCAGATGCCGGTTTTTGTATAAACCATATGCGATGACCAGCGAAGCGGATCGGCTGGCACCCAGCTGACAGTGAACAAGGACCTTTTTCCCCTGTGAAATGCGCGAATCGATGAGCTCGCAGAGGGGGTAGAGATCTTCGAGTATTTCTGAGTTGTGGTCCCAGCCCACATGGATGTATTCGGGCTTGGATGCGTCGTTGCGAGGTGTGGGAGGCAGTGACTCATTCGGGGGGTACTCAAAGGCGGACTTAAAGGAAATGTCTGACATGGCTGTTTCTGGAACTTCGGTCGGCACCGCCTTGGGATTTGTAGACGCATTCCGAAGGACACTCATGACAGATCCGTTGTTGGTGTTTGTGTTGGTGAATGGATTTACTACTTCCTTGGCCACGTTGACGACAACATCAAACTGCGACGCTTCTTGTACTGTCGGTTCCAAGTACAAGTAGACTCCGGAGTCGTAGATTTGGATAGGCCCATTCGGGTAGCCCCGCTCATTGCGTCTAGTGGACTCTCTCGAGTCTAGGTGATCATCCTCCTCATCCAATTCATGGAGCACACTGCCAGAAACTGAGTTTTCATCGGGGACTGGCTGCAAAGGTGACGGGTTATCCTCCGAAGCCGATGGCCGTCGACTGCATGATGGGTCATGGGCCTAGGTAGTTGCATGCCACCTTTGGGACCAAATGAAGGGGAGAAGATCGAATTTAGTGATGGTGAAGATTCGGTATGTCGCAACGGTTGCCGGCCGAGTGGGGTAGGAGGAACTTCAGAGATATTGCTAGAAAACGATCTATCAAAGCCGGGAGTCCGAATGGTGAGATTTGCCGGTTTTCGGCGTGTGCTTTTGGGAGGGATGTGTACCGGCGATGGTGGCGCGGACAGATGATGTTGAGAGGTTGTTTCAACAATGGATGCTGTCGCGATTGGCGGCCGGGAAGACTGCGAGGGTGGAGGCATTCTCAAGGATAAATTTTTCAGGTTTCGTGCCCGCCTGCCAGGAGAGTCTGGGCGCACGGGATTCGGTGTGTCGGACGACAATTTGGAAAGGTTGTTATGGGCTGTCGAGAGCGAGTGGCTCTCGACATTGCGCGGGGGTGGCATGAATTTGGTATACGACAGTGGCATGGACGTCGGAGATTCCGGGGAAGAGCTGGGAGATGTCTCTGGGCCAGAAGGCGAATCGAAGGTGGAAATGGTGGTGGTCGGCGACGAATCAGTAGACGCTGATGTCATCGACGAGATGCTCTCACGGTGCTTAAAAGGTAGAGGGCGTCGCGACGTGTTAACGGTGACATTAGTGGGCACGTCGAGAGGGTTTATTCCTGTCGTCTGCTCCTCTCTGTCGGCAATGCTAAGTGGTCTCCCACCAAACACTGACATAAAGGATGGGAATGAATCCGGTACTGACGGTGGACTAGTCTGAACGGGCATGATGAATCCAGACTTCAGTACAGACCTGCGCTTGAAAGGCGACACCCTTTCAGGTATACAGCTCTCACAAAACGCCGGCGCAAAAACCGCAGGACAGCAGTCGCATCCAGACGAAGGGAAAGAAGAAAGTGTCGCACTTGCTACCAGAGCAAATGACCTTTTTGAAAGAGCACAATCAGTTTCCATGTTCAAGCTTTGTGGCTTCGCAAAGTGCAGATGTTCAGGTCGCAAGAAACCAAGCAAATAGAGCTGCAAGGAGGGTGAAACAAGGCCGGCAAGCTGAACCTTAAAAGAAAGGAAGCAACAATAGGATCAGAGTAAAATTCTGTGGTTGTCCCGGGCGTAGAGCATTGAACGTTGGGAGGTATGGAAGCGAGCCGGAAGAATGGACGTCTAGCAATGCATGTAAGAAAGACGTGAACATACCAAAAGTCGCCACAAGAGGTCTGGTACCTCTTGAAGATGTGTCAGTGATGTAAAGGAAAGGACAGTGGTGTGCAGTGCCAACAGGAAATAATAAAATGAGAAAACAGATCAATCAAAACACTGCAGCAGAAAAATAAATAAAAAAAAGCGGAGTCAAGGAGAGCTAGAAATTAAAAAGAAAAAAGTAAAACACAGATGCAGCGTCAGAAATTACTGCATGGAAAAAAAAAAACCAATGAATTAATGGTTGAGATGGAGGAATAAAAAGTTGGAGGAATTGCCGCCCGGTATTCGCATGGGCAGTCGTTCCTCCGGGGAATGACGAAAGAACCAGTGTAGGAATCTAGTAGGGTAAAGGAGGGTAAGAAGGGAAGTAAAAGAACGACTGCCCACAAGCCAAAGGAGAGAAATGGGTCACGTCGATTGATTAGCGAAGTAGGTACCTACTAAGAGGGGAAGAGGAGGGGAAGAAGGAAATCAGAGGAAGAGAGAGAGAGAGGGAGGGAGGGAGAAGGAGGAGGGAAACACACGACTGGTGGTGGTTGTGTGTTTGTGTGTGAGAAAAGAGAGGTTCCTCCAGGATAGGATAGACCAGACCAGTTCCAGCAGCAGCATGTAATACTGGTAAACGATCACTAAGAATAAACCACCTGCTCCAGCAGTAGTTCGTTTGAGAGGACGGGAAGGGAGTGGATGGAGGCCGTGATTGGGACCGTCCGCCCGCGTTTCTTGACGGCAGGCCAATCATTCCACCGTTAAGTGTGGGGCGCGAGGAAGACACCCTCCGGTCAACCAGATGTGGGAAGCCAATCAGACCCGGCCGAAGCAAAACATTCATCGCCTGCAGCTCTAAATTTAGCCGCCCGGGTTGGTCTGGGAGCTGGAATGTGCATCACGGGCGCCAAAAGCACGCAAATCAGATGCCAGTCTCTTCCCAACGTAGGCATGTCTCCATCTCCCCAGTCGCAGAGATGCTGGTATGTACCACTCTCCTTCCCGTCACCCACAACAACGACCGAGTGAAGATCCTTGTGGTCAGGGCAAGAGAAATCAGATAGGAAGTGATGGGCAAGTGTAAGTGGGTGGGTATGATTCTGATACAACACAGGGGGTGGAGGAACGGAATCATGTGTGTATCAGAAATCACAGATCGTAATCAATGACCAGAGAAAAGGAAGCCACTGTATTTTTGCTTCTTTTTTTTTTTTCCCTTCTCGCTCCCTCTTTTGGTTTTCTTTGTGCTCTTGGTATGGAAATGGGTATTCCCCTCTCTCTTCCTCTTTCGGATTTCTTGTCAAGGGTTGAGTGCAAACAAGGAAGGTTGCAACAAAAAAAGAAAAGAACAAACACGCAAAACAGCTCCACAACTGGTACCACTTGAAGGGGTGGGAACTGGACGAACAAAGACAGAAATAGCCAACTAGAGCAAAGGTGTAATACGTATAAACAGAAACCAGGAGATCATAAACAAATGAACAATAATAAACCTGACTATAATAGCAGAAAAGCAGAAATGACAATTTCAAACATACCTTATTCTTTCTATTATCAAAGACGCCCTTTTTTTCCTATCCCTTTCACAATGCCCTGGGTTCAACAGGATCACACTGTTATAGTCTCAGGAAGTGAACCTATACCAGAGTGGTACTAGATCCAAACGGGATTTTTCATTCGTTATGCGGCAGTGGTCACGGCGCTTAGCATCACACAACCCCGTTTCCCTAAAGAGCTCGTCACACGAAGAGGGGAATGAGAAGGATAGTATCCAAAGAGAGAGAAAAAAATTTGAAGAAAGAAAGTAAATAATAATAACAAGAAAGTTCTTCCAGAAGAGGCACCGAAAAGATAAAAATAAGAAATCTGCTCAACCCCACGAGGAGGTCAAAACCAGTTTGAGCGGGCAGAGAGTATACGTCCAACAGCTAAACTGTAGTGATAATTTCAAATTAGCGTAAGGTTGACCCGCTTGGGTGTGCACGGTGCGCTGATACTGCAGGGCGTTGGGGGGGGCTTACAGTGAGGACTGACTCAGATGATGAAAGCAGCAAAGAGCGTCACTGAAGGAAGGAAAGGTTTAGCGTGAGTCGTTCCAGCGATGAAGAGGTCAGAAAAGATCAGAAAAGAAGAGGCCATTGACGAGAGGCATGGTCACTATTTTACTAGATACAGATGGCGACTTTTTCAGCAGGGACCTCTATTTGGCGTGGAGCCAACCTACTAGTGTAGACTCTGTCGAGGCTCTGGGGATAAAGGAAAATGTGAAACGGGAAGGCTGATTGACTGGGGCCAAACCAATCCGATTCATCATCATCGCCCTAGGCGCAACGCCCCCTGGGAGTTGTGGACTTTTCGTCATTGGCGGGTGGGACGAGGAGAAGCTGCGCGGGCATCGTCCGGGCTGAGTCCGAATCACGAACCCTGAATTGGCTTAGGTATCCCTGTACATTGTTTCGGACTCAACAAGACAAACGAGTCCAACATGCTGATTCGTTCTCTCCCGTCCGGCATTTCAGAAGCAATCCGACGTACTCAGGTCCAGTTGTGTTTTGTTTGCCGACACATACACACACACACACACACACCAGAGAATCCCCCGAAATCGCAAAACCCGAATCCGGGTTAGTGTTATTAATAAACTTGGGCCAACGCAGCTGAAACACACAGTGTTCGCGCGCGCTAACTCAAACCAATAGGTGGAGGAGTTCAGGTGTGTTTTGAAACACGCCAGACCAATGCTAAGCCACTAGTCGGCCCCCCTCCAGGAGGGGGTCACGTGTGCGACACCGCTTGTCACAGCCCGAGTTCCATCTCTTCAGATCTCCCTGATTCAATCCTCGGAACGGTGAGTAGACAAGCATCATCTGTGGTTTGATTGGTTATAGATGAATCGGATGCTTCAGAAATTGTACTTCAAGCTCTTGTGAACGACACAGCAACGCGTGTTCCACTCGTTTCGACTGGTTGTTGATGTTGAGGTCATCGCTACCCACACTTGCCACAAGAATCAATAGTATGCTTTTAGCACACCCACATAGGAGTCCACTGTACGGATAAATCGTTCAAATTTCATTACGGTCCACTGCTGAGCAAATATTATTGCTCGTTATCAGTGCCTCTGCAACGCGGTGTTTATTTGAAACTTGGCTCTGTCATTTCCACGTGGCTGCAATGTCCAACCAGGGACTAACCGTGGACACTTTTGGTACCCTCCGTACAGCTCCATCCGAACGTCGGGAACCATAGAACTTGGACCGCCGGTTCGGTGATAACTTTGAATGCTGTGGAGTCGCTTCATCAAAACGTTTTATTGGCACGTAGCAAGTTGCAATCATCTCAGATGAGCATATCGGCTCGAGCCATGGTCATCAATGGAATTAAGGGCTTTATATGCGAAGGGACCAGGTCCAGGAAAGGAAAGAAGGGCCATGGGTGTGACAGCCGTGCAGGCAGCTTCCTATGACAGTACCTACTTAGTGCCATCCTATCTCGTGATTCATATATTTGAGCAATATAAATTATTGTGGTTCCTTATTGACATAGTGCCTATGGTCATAGGCCACCGAATTACCCGATCTGAGACAATTCCTCAGGTTGATTATTGCCTAGAGGCAAATCCAGATAATCTCCCGCTTAACATAATCAATCTCTACAGCCTTTGCGCAAGTAAATGCCTCATTTAGACTCACAGAGTGTTGTCGTTTTCCTTCTTTAGGCAGAAGCACAGAGACCGTTGGATATCCCATAACTTAGCCGGTTTATACTGTACCTGGCACAGTGCGGACAGCGTCAAGTTTTGCCTAGCTGTACCCTAATCCACGGATCGCTCGATTACAGGCAGTACCTACTAACACATCCCAAGTAAGACGTGTTCATACACGCAATTGTTTATTCGTGTCTCTCGACTTGATATGTAAATGTGCATAATTCATGCATTAGGGGTGGATTTCCAATGTCGAACTCTTCAAGTGCTGGACATCTGTTTCAGATCACCACAGAGACGAAAAAGATTTTCTACACGGGATCCTTAGCCCTATGCCCACTTCTCTCAACTAGTCATTTACCTAGGTTACGGAGTACTCCCGTGTATATACCCTTATCTGCAACGGCCGAGCACTTGGTCACTGTTTGGTCGTTGCGCAAGCGAACCCTGCTTGTTTTGCATCGGAGATCAGGTCAAGAACGGTTGGTTCTCATGCATACGATGCCATAGACACGTTTCAGAAGAGTAGTCACGAGGGTTTCTTATTTTTTTAACACGAAGTCATTCCTTCTGTATCCATGTGACTGGTGCGAGTGTTTCGACATTTATGACCACGATCGATGACTTTATTGATCGTGGTAAGGCTTCGGAGCATCGCTTTAGCATCTTGTTCCTTCTTCCCCCATGCCCCCTTATTCTTTGTTCCCTACTCTTCGCGCTTCTAATCCAGTATGTCTATAAAAGTATGGCAAGAAAGAGCTGGCCATCCTTGGAGCTGTCGTTTCCAGACATTTTACGCATTTGACGGGTCAGCGATATTGCTATAACAAGGCACTGCTAACCCCCTACAGTTGAAGAAACTCTCAATCCGCGA